ATTCCCAGGTTGAAAAAATGGTTGTTCCAATGGTTGGGAAGCTTCATTGGGAAGAGTTGTAGATCAGCAAGAATTTTTCACCATGTTCTCCTAGTGTTTTTATATCCTGAAGAGAAATTATTTTGCAGAGGACTACATGCATTTCTTGTGCAGAAAACAGTGTACTGCCCAGGAAACCTGTTTTATTCAGAGAAAAACAGTTTGTTTAAAATGCAAAAACTCATGTACAGTATTTTTGTCTGCAGAATACTTCCTCCACAGTACTTTGAGATGTTCAAGTACAGGGAGAATACTATGGAGGAATATTTGTTTTCTCCTACCATTAATAGACCTTGCAACATTTCACAAATGAAACCTAGGACATGTTTGATTTTTCGGGAGTATATTGCTAAGCACAAGATTCTGCCCCCTCTTCTCCTTTCGTCCCTGCTAAGTTAATTGACAAATGGCTTTTGCACTTTGAGCTCAGTTTGCAGCAAATGAAGTTAAGCTGAGGACATAGGATGAAAGTGGGAGGGAGAGAAAGAAACCAGGACATTTTAAAAGCAACTGAAAAAGTGGGATGGCAGAGGATTAATTGGGACTGTTCCTGCCAAATCGGAATATTTAGAGGTTATACCATAATTATCCCTCCTCACATTAACAGTCAAGGATTTACATTCCTTAGGGGATATAAGAGACTGCTCCCAGCCTCTGACCTCTCCAAATTTTTGACTACATGTATAGAAACATGGTCAAATCCTTCTCACTATATTTGGCAGCAAGGTACAAAAGAAATAAGTTTGCTAAGTGGCGATATACCAAAGTTGAAACTCTATTCCCACAGTGTATAGAACCAGCCATTTGGGAAAGTCGACAGAACAATGTGCTTCATGAGGTATAGGCGAGTAGACACCTCTGCCCTCCGGAGAGGAAGACTGGTTCTTCTGCTACTGAACTACACGCATAAAAAGTACCTCAAGTCCCGAGGGGTTAGGGATGGGAACAATCTGTCAGTTTTGCTTTCTCCCATGTTCAGAATTTTTTCATTCTCAAGTTTTTGTTCACAGCTTTTACGATCCAACTGGAGAAACCGAGTTAACCCCTGGTGCAAAATGAACGGTGCAGAATTCTCAACTATCTCCAATGGTGAGATGTGCTAAATGTACCCTGGAGGCGGCCATGTTGCATCTGCCGACTGGGAAGATCTCAAAGATGAGCAGCCTCTCAGAAGAGAGATATGGCAACCTGACTGTGACCAACAAAGCCTTATACTGCATAGATCCAAGTTATCTGAAATTACCATACCTATCTGACCCTACCAGTCTGGTATAGTTGAAAGAATTGATCATGTTCCACTACATTGCCTGTATTATAAGGATATTCATACCCCGTTTATAGATTTGATCCTGGAAAAATGTCCAGACAGATCTGATAGTCTTCCTACTTCACTTCTTCTTTTCGATTCCACTAAAGAATACAGTCAGCCCTCCAAACCCATGGATTCTTTATCCATAGATTCAACCATCCACAGCTTGTTTGTGCAGAAAGGTGCAAAATTGTGTATTCTAGCAGGTTCCCTTAGGAGCAAGTTGGTCAAATCCCATCTTGACTCCCTCTAATCCTAGTGAAGGCTGCTAGGTATGGATTTAGTAGCTGACTATTGAATTACCACCTATGTATATAGAGAGAAATCTGGGGTGCCAGCATTACTTTTTACCTTTATTTCTCATCATGTTCTGCTTTTGTCCTTTTAGGACTTATCGATGACCCCAATAAAGTTGATTCCTGGGACAAGATGGCCTTTCCAGGTCCATTTTATGAATAAACCTGCCATGTTTGTACCAGAAAATAAACAGAATGGAATTCTCATTTATGTCTGCTAAGAGGCAATGAAGCAATGCATATATATATATATGTGTGTGTGTGTGTGTGTGTGTGTGTTTTTATATATATCTCCTCGGCTGATGTTCCCTCCAAGGGTATCTCCAAGCTTTGTCTGACAATACACTGAGAAGAAAACCACACATGTCTGCCACATGAACAGGTTAAAGATGTGCTAGTGATGGGGCAGTGATGACAGCCCAAGGCCCGAAATGCATCACAGCAGGAAAGCTGTCATGCCATTGAGAAATCACTGCTTCGGGGCTGACTTTTAGGTTTGTGGTATGGGATATTCCAGAAAATAGATGGGTTTCCATTCTGAAAAGTGACAGCAGCATGGGGTGGGGAGGAAGACTTATCCCTATGCCCATGCATACACACCTTACTTTCAGCTTGGCCATCAGGATAATTTAAAGAGATACAGTTTGAGTCTTCCTTATCCAGAATACTGAAATCCAAAATACTCCAAAACCCCAAACTCTTTTCATGGGTGACTGAGATAATGACAGCTTTGCTTTCTAGTAGTTCAGCGTATATAAACTTTGTTTCATGGCCAAAATCATTCAAAATGTTGTATAACCTTACCTTCAGTCTATGTTTATAAAGTATATATGGAACATAAACGAATTTTGTGTTTAGACTTGGGTCTCGTCTCTAAGATACTTCATGATGGACATATATGTAAATACAGGTATTCCAAAATCCAGAAAAATCCAAAATCCAAAACACTTCCAGTCCCAAGCATTTCGGATAAGGGAGACCCAATCTGTATGAAGAAATCTTTCCACTCTACTTTGAAAAATACAGACTTTATACTGACATCCAGTCAGTATTCAGTGCTTGGAGTAGTCAAAAATCCCAGAACTTCTCAGTAAACTTATCTTGGATGAGGGATCTGGGGAGTTGTAGTCCACAAAGGCCACTTTCCAAGCTCTGGCAATATATATTGGGAGAAGATGGGTGTGAGATACACAGCCAACCTGAGACAAAGAAAAGATGGTGTCTTCACTTTCATGCAGAGAAGTAGAGTGAACTGGCTACTGAATATTATTTCAGCACTGACAATGGGCCAATGTCCTCCATCACCTCAAAGACAGAAGACTAGGTACAAAACAGGTTATGAAAGGGCACACATTCCCATATAAAATGCTGGAGAGCCATTTTGAATTGTGGGAGGGAGCAACTCAAGGGACTCCATGATTCCATGTTAGAAAGCTGCCCCTGCTGAATGGGGATGATGGAACTTGAGTCGAACACATCCAGAGAGTACCTGGCTAGAGGAAGATTCAGTTATTGGAGTAGAACTCAGGAGACCTAGATTTTTTTCCCCACTGGGGATAGATGGAGCCCATTGGGCCACCGTTGTTCAACCTAGCACACCTCCCGTGTGAGAACTAAAATATACAGAGGGGAGAATCTTTGATCCCAATCTGAGCTCCATGGAGAAACAACAAGACATCATATGGAAAACATTCATAATAGCAAGCCAAGGTGATGTATCTGGTAAGAAAGTTGGACTGGGAACTGGGAAATCCAGTCCCAACTTCCCACTGAGTCATGGAATACACCCAGAGACCCGAAGCCAGTCACACCCTCTCCACTTAAGCTACCTTACAGGGTTGTTGTGAGGTTAAAGTGGAGAGGAATCTGCTTTGAGTTTGGCAAAAGTCTGCCAAGGTAGAACAATAAATAGTCAATTTTAGGAATAACAGCTGGATTCTACTAGTTAGTCCTAACTCAAAGTAGTCCTACTGAAGCAACTGTTGAATGGTAAGTCAACAATGGATTCAATAGGTCTACTCTTGTTGGGGCTAACTAGGATTGATTGATTCAATAGGTCTACTCCAGTTGGGGCTAACTAGGATTATATCTATACTGCAGAATGAATACAGTTTGACACTACTTTAACTGCCATGGCACAATACTACAGAATTCTGGGATTTAAAGTTTTGTGAGAGATTTAGCCCTCTCTGTCAGAGAGCTCTGGTGCCACCACGAACTACAAATCCTAGGATTCCATAGGAGGGAGCCATGGGAAATAAAGCAATGTCAAAGTACATTAATTCTGCCATGTGGCCGCAGCTTAAGAGTGGGATTTCATAGTTGACAATGAATAGTCAAATCCATGGACACATCCATTATAACTGGAGGATTGTTCTATACAACATGTGTTTAGATTATGGAAAAGGAAGCATGCAAGAGCCCTTCAAAGCCAACCTTCACTCAAGGGCTGCTAGTTGCTGGCCCTTCCTCTAACTTTTGTCCTGCTGCTGGAGCAGAGAGCCAAAAGGAAAGCCATTTTCATCGGCGTTTATGAAATGAGCCGAGTAAGCAAAAGTTATCTTCATAACAGTTAATAAAAGAAGGCCTTTAAGCGCTAAGTAGGAAATTATACTGACTGTCTTTCTGCTACATTAAAGCTCCGGCGCCTTTAATTATGTATGGCCTATTTTTATTTAACGGGTGTTGCGTGGGGATGGGGGGAGAAGGGGAAAAATAATAAAAGTGCTGCTTTCTGGAGGTGGCTCCGGAGGCAGGTGTGAAATGAACTGGGCAAGCAAAGCGATGCGCTGTAATCAAGTCAACCTTCACATTATGGAACCTGGAAACCATATGCAGATATGAGATACGCAGCGCTGATGGTACTAGCCATTGGAAGGTAGTGTGACCAGGCCTACACACATGCGCACCCCGAAATGGTAAGGCCCAAAGGCTGAGCCCCCTTCAGAGCAATAGAGCGATTCCCAAACTTTGGCCCTCCAGAGGTTTTGGATTTCAGCTACCAGAATTCTTGACTGTTGGCCAAGATGCCTGGAGCTCCCGGAAGTTGAAGTCCAAAACACTTGGAGGACCAAAGTTTGGGAATCGCTATGCTAGAGCCTTCCAAGTCCTCTCCAGGTTTTCATCCAAACTTTCAAGGAGTTATCCAATCTGACTTCACCCAAAAAGGTTCAGCACCTTTCAAATGTGGTTGTTGTTGTGTGCCTTCAAGTCCTTTCTGACTTAGGGTGACCCTAAGGGAACCTTATCATGGGGTTTTCTTGGCAAGATTTGTTTGGAGAGGGTTTGCCATTACCATTGCCAATGTCTGAGGCTGAGAACATGTGATGTGCCCAAGGTCACCCAGTAGGTTTTCATGGCCAAGTGGGGAATCAAACCCTGGCCTCTGGAATCATAGTCCAATGCTCAAACCACTATACCACATTGACTCTCTTCAAGTTTGTATTAAAATGTAAAACAGATCCACCATGACCATCACAACCTTCACTGACATGAGAACCACAAGCCACCATCACCTCAAGTTGCCAAATTTATTGAGTTGTACCTTATGGTAGTATGAATCCAGGTCCTAGGCTACTCCTTGAAATATCAGAACATGCTTGCTAACCAAAAATTCAAGGATTTTTGAAACACAGTGCTATGTGACTGAGAAGTAAGCCCCACCATGTTCAGTCCTAGGTAAGTGTGCATTAGGGTTGCGCCACCATCAATAAATCCACATCTGCCTTTGATCCAATTCATATAATGCCTTTTCTTAAAGAAGGCCCCAAACTTTCATGTTAGACAGCTGGTTGAATGGTCAAAAAGAAACCTATAAGCAAATGCTTACGAAGCAATTGCAATGAGTATTTCCAAAATCCAAAATCACAGTGCATATACACCAAAATCGTAATCGCAATGAAGGGGGAAAAAAGGATTACTGTTTTGGGCAGTAAATGAACAGATCCCCAGTCTCTTCCAAGCCCTTTGAGGCACATGCCACACACTACTGAGATAAAATTCTCTCAAGTTGATGTCCTTTTCCAGGTTGTAATCCATGTAAAAAGTTCAAAGCCAGAGGGCCATAAATCAGGCTTCGGATTTGGAAACTCCAGATCAAAGTGGGGAAACGTGACACCAGGGATGAAGAATCTCCAACTGACCCAGTTCTCCCACAGAGCATGGGAAAAGTTACTTTTTTGGACTCCGGGTCCCAAAGGTTCTCATCAAGTAGGAATGGTGGGAACTGGAGTCCACAAAATAACCGTGCAGATATTTTTATAGCTGGAATATACCTATATGTGTTTTAAAATAGACAGTACCCTGTGCAGAAAAAAAAGCAAATGTCTCTCTCTTTGAGACTTTCCCGACAAGAGTCCACTGATCTTTAGCCAACAGCTTTGCTCACAGAAGCGTTCTCCATCTTCTCAACAGCCCCTGGGGCCTTTCCTGGATGATACCGGCCAACATGGACTAGCCGTGGCATCGAAAAATATTGGCTCCGGAAGAAGCCACAGAGCGCTCAGAGCACAGAGCACAGCTGGGACCCAGAGAGGACAAGGTCCCTGTTGCTTGCCAGGGCACAAGAGCCAGCTGGCACTGGGGCAGAGGCTGGCAGATGCGCCCACGACAAAGAAACAAGGGCCTCCTCGACTCAGATATTTGCATAAACGTCTTTGTGTCCCACTCTCCATCTCATAATGCTACAGATTTGAACCTGGGCTCTGGAACAGGGTGCCAGTACAGCATGCACCCTGACATGTTTTAACAAGCGGATGCAGTCTCGCCAACATAGTTATATACAGAGATGCCAACCACCTTCAACATTTCACAGATGAAAACTGGGATGCATGTGGCCAAAGCAACCTCAGAGCGTAGTCAAGATGGCGAAAGTGGTTAATGATGAAGACACAGTCTAGGAGAGGCTGCAGCAGTTTGCTTTTGCCTGAGTCAACAGGGAAGGGCAAGATTCAATGCACCGCTTTAGCTCAACGCCATGGAATTCTAAGGTCTATAGTGAGATACTTAGCCTTTTACAGTCAAGGTAAGTTAGCTGGTGCCACAGCAAACTACAAATCCCAGGAGACCATAGGAGGGAGCCACAACAGTTAAAGTGGTGTCAAACTGCATTAATTCTGCAGCGTTAAAGAGTTTGGTGTTGACAGCTGTATATGTTCTCCTGGCATGTATAGAATTCTCTTCCAATTATTTGGGGTGGTATTACCATCCTCTCCAGTTCTGCCATTTGCCTTTCCATCACTCTTAAGGTTGCCAACATTTCAACTGACCTCTGCAGCTGTGCCCTCTAAGAGAAGATCACTCTTGAAGCCTGGAAAGAGCATCTCAGATTGCATCCGCACCGCTTAAATAATCCAGTTTCACACCACTTTAACTGCCATGGCTCAATGCTAGGGGTTTTTAGGAACTGTAGTTTATTGTGGCACCAGTTCTCTCTGACAGAGAAGGCTACGTGTCTCACAACCTACATTTCCCAGAATTTCATAGCATTGAGCCATGGTAGTTAAAGTGATGTCAGACTGGGTTATTTCTGCAGTACTGATGCAGCCTCAGTAACCAGCAGTCTGTTGGTTGTGTCAGGTTAAGTGTTTTTAAAGACACTAGAGTAGTCCAGGTTGGAGATTTATTTATTTTTCAAAGAGTGATGGCAATTCTACTTTTTTAAAGAAATGAGCACAAAAAGTTCCTTTAACACCCTCCAAGAGCAAACCCAGCAACATTTTACAGATGAAAAGTGTGACACATGTGGCCAACTAACATCAGAGTGTCCTCATTCTGGGAAGAGTTATTAGTGAGGAGCACACAAGCTTGGATGGACTGCAGCAGTTTGCTTTTGCCTGAGTCTACTGGGAAGATCAAGATTCTGCTTCCTCCACTCCTCCTTGCTGGGTTAATGCAATGCAAGGTACTTATGCCCTTTAAACACAGTTTGCAGCAATCAAAGCCAGGACAAAGGGGAAAGGTGGGAGGAAAAGAGGGAAACCAGAACGTTTCAAAGGCAGCTGAAAAACTGGGATGACAGAGGAGTCTTACTATCATATTGATACAGTTGGAGCATCTGCAAATACAGTGCATGTGTGTATACTAGTCTTGTTATGGTTTTAGACACGCTTTCCATGAAATTTCACAGGGTCTCTGCTTGTTTTCCACATAAAATACCTTAAATCTCCAGCCCTGAGACTGGCTATAAGTGAACAGATCTCTCCCATGTTATATTCACCAATGAAAACACTGACAATAAAGACACATGCTGGGAACTGACACAACTCTAAATCACAACTTCAGATCTGGAAATGACCAAAGATACAAAACAGCTTCTTTGGAGTTCTCCAGGAAAGAGTAAGAAAGATTTAAGAGGGTTTTACATTCAATTGTCCTGCAGCAGAAAATAGGTACGGAGAACTTACACCATAGCGTTCTTAAGATTTATTTCTTCCACAGACGGGCTCCATCATGCCAAACACATCAAGACAAAATCTTCTCACTTCCTTCCCTGAGACTAAAAAAAGCAAGTCGGCCCATCGGAGATGGTAGCTCCGACTATAAATAAGCAAGAGCTGTAGGATCTGAAGGCATCTGGTGCTTCAACAATTACCATAAAGATACCCTCCAACCTTCCCTGAAGCATGTTAGCATAAATCTTGGTGGGATATAAGCAGTTTAAAAAGATAACCAAGGGATAAAGTATTTCAACAGCTCTTCTTGACTTATGGGTCTTCAGCAAATCACTTACATCACACACACACATACACACCGCCAGCCTTCGAAACCGCCAACAAAGGATGTTCGGACTATAAAGCATCATGTTCAAAGATCAGATGCAAAAATGGGGACAGATTACAACCTGCCCAAAACTTTTCACTTATTTATTTAGCTTCCATCACACCTTTCTCCTACCAATGGGACACAAATAGTCATTCCTGCACATTTTTCAAGGACACTTTCCTTTTATTTAATTGATTTAGATCCCACTTTTCTCTGTTAAGGGACCCAAAGAGGCTAGCTATGGTTTCAAAGCCATTTGGAACTTAATGTTTGGGGGTAAAAATGAACATGAAGGGTTTGTTTGAGTGTTGTTGGCTTTTTGCATACAAAAAAAACCCAGCATTTATGGTGCAGAAAATCAAGTTTGCACTGGAAACGCCTAAAATGTTGCTTTCTGCGCACAAAAACCCACATGCTTTTTTCATGCTGAAATAAGGAGAATTCTTCTATGAATTCTCTTGGTCTGGTTTTCCCAACACTCAAGAAAACCATTATTTTATTATTTTATTATTTTATTATTTGGAAAATATTATCCAAATATTTTCAACTATTCTTTCCATCCCTCCTCTTGCAAATCCCTCTGTAGGGCTTTTGATTTCTGCAGCCGTCTTAAAAAGTTTTCATCCCGAAGGCACAGGTAAGGAGACAGAGGAAGGGAGAAGTTCCAGGAAAGCTCCCTTTTTGGAGAGTCATCCTCAGCATCCTCTAGCTAGCAAAACACATCTTGGGTGGAGGATTCTGGGAGTTGTTGTCCTGACGAGGAACTTTTTCCAAGCTCTGGCCAAGACGATGGGGAAAGCAGCACAGGACGGATGCTTTTCCGTGGAGAGGGGAGAAGGTTGCGGAGCGCTCTTTGCTGCAAAGACCACAGGAATGGTTGATTGTGGAAGCTTTCCCAGGCTAATTGAAGCCAGCTCTGACTTTTGAACCCGAGCACACTCAAGAAACTTTTAAGTGTTTTCTCCTACCGTGACAGGGTTCTTCAGGGACTGCTCCCTGCTCACGCCCCAGTCACTTTGAATTCATGGCAACGTTTCAATGAAGCCTTCCTTTGAGAAGGCGGCATTGTCCCCCTGCTTTGCCCCCTACTTTCTACACTGGAGGGATGTCAGCAGACATGAGCTGAGAAGTGCTGCCTTTTGAGCAACACCATGAGAGTGAGGAGGAAACCCGAACCCGAACCCATTTAAAAAAAGACAGCCCATGGGTCAGCTTGATGCATGTGGAAAGTCATGGGCATGGCTTTTGCAAATTTGATTATTGGATGATTTGAGTAATATGTTCTCTCTAAGAAGAGTGCTTTGAGTGTTGGACTACTGACAACTCTCGAGATCAGGGTTCGATTCCCCGCTCAAGCATAAAAGCCCATTGGGTGACCATGGGCAAGTCACACCCTCTCAGCCCTGGAGGATGGCAATGGCAACCCGCTCAAAAGAAACTTGCCAAGAAAACCCTATGATAGGTTCACCTTGGGGTCGCCATATGTTGAACATGATGTGGAGCCACACAAAAACTAACAAAGGTCCTCCAGTGCAATTCTCCCCGAAGCTGACCATAGAGTCACACTGGAGGACACAGAAATTCCTAGAGAAACACTATTCTACGCATCTGTAAGTCCTCCAGTGTGATTCTGTTGGAAGCTGACCATAGAGTTACATTAGAGGAC